TATATATTCAAAATTGTATCATAAGATTACATTCCAATATATTTTGATAAAATAACATGTTTTCTGAGAATGATTTATAAAAAATAAAATTCTTTTAAAAGCTATTTTGAATAATTAGGTAGAGTTCATGGTGTCTACAATTACTAGACATTATTATGAATGTTTGGGTCAATGTATAGGGGTGACAGAGTAATTAAGATTTTAGAATAAATATTTCAGTATTTTAGAATCACTCAAGCTGTACAGTTCTGAATTAATGATAGACATGATGGTACAATTAGAGCACACTGTAGTGCTGAATTTGAAACCTTAGCTACATGTTAGTGAAGCAGTATTTAGTGGGATGTCATTTTATTTGAAACCCTTGGATTTGTCATTCTAATTTTCTTGGGGGGAAAGCTCACATGGAACATAAAGATTGGTAAATAACTTCCCTTTTAAAATCCAGCTAAGTTCTGGTATACAATTGCACAGTATTGGGACTGTAACATTGACATATATGCATTGTACACTTCAAAAAGCTAAAGAGAGAATTTTGAAACTTTTTTCACAAAGAAATGATAAATAAGGGGCTAGATATGTTTAATCTGATTTAAACATTGTATAATATATCAAACATTATATGGTACCCCATTGATATGTACATTATATTTTTGTATATCAGTTGAAGAAATTAAAGTATAATTATATACCCCATGTGGGAAGACCAGGAAAAAGTAAGGAAACATTGTTTATAATTTACATCTTCAAGAATAAACAAAAATACCCAAACTAATATAGTAAATTCTCTCTGAAATTGTACATGTATGAGAATTACTCCAATACTAACTTATAAAGGAAGGGTTATGTGTTGGTTTGTAAGTGTAGGACTCCAGGGCCTGTTTCCATATTTTGCCAACCAATCCCTTGGTATGTGTGGGCTTGCACAACTCTCCATGCTTTCCTATCCCAAAACATCGCTATTTAATTGTTCTTCATAACCCTGAAATTTGGAAATCTTTTCTTCATTCTGAGCAGTTATTTTGAAGCTTGACAAGGGTTACCTAATGTTGTTTTGACATTTTTAACATGTTTGATCTTTGCAGAACATCAAGGGATTTTAGGCAATGTAGCTACCATCTGAAATGCATGAGCTGCTGAATAATGCCAAGCCTCATTTTTTTAGTGCTTTAAAAATCCAAATTCAAATACTATTACTTTGGGTCTTTCTATTAAGAAGTTCTGATTCCATAGGGTTCAAGCCCATGGACCTGAACATGTCACTGCAGTTCACTCGTATTTCATTTGTGAATTTCACCCATTTAACATTGACCTCTAGAACTAAAATGGAAATGAATTCACTAAAGCATTGGTGCATTAGAACTCTGTCTAATAAAAATATTTCCATCTCTTTTTTTGCCAGACAATAGAAATCATTTTCCACATTTTGATAGTATAATTCTAAATCACCCTAAACAGTGAAGGGAGTTTTGGACAAACTAAATAAAACAATGTGTCCCTACAGTGGGTTGGGGTCCTTGGTGGCAAGATGTGTGATAGTTAACCCTTACCAAGAGCTTCCTTTAAGCCTTCTCCAAGTTTTGCATACATTATTTTCTGCTTATGACATCATTCCCTTTTATAACACCCAAACATCTTAGACAAGATTGTTTAACTACATTTTTCAAATGAGAACACTATGTCA